CTTCTGGATACTGTTTGATTATTGGAACTATCAGCGGCTCGATAATCTGGATTTGCATTGTCGACATTCATATTCATGACTTGGGTTCATTGCAATTTGGTATCAGAGCTGTACTCCTGACTGTGACAACGACGTACGTGTGCAAAGCGCCAGGTGGCGCCAGGTAAGTATGAGGGAGTGCTCAATCGCGATTATAATCGCGCGGCAGTCTAGACAGGGCACTCACCTCCATTGAAGACTGCACACGTACCAAGATGATGAAGACGAAGATCTGCTGTTGATGAAGAAGACGAAGATTGCTGGCGAGAAGATTATTACTGGCACAGATACCAATCCCAACGCACGTGCTGACGTGGCAGTTGAGATACCAGCCTGTCTGCTGACGTGGCATGAGATGTGCCACGACCCAAGATCTGGTTGCTGACGTGGCAATCTTTGTTGCGTTCGTCGCTCACAAGCGACCAGATCCTGAGTAGGAGTTGACGTGCCACTTGGAGGACTTATTGCTGACGTGGTAGGAGAATATTGCCGCACCTACCGTTGATGTGGTGATAACCTGCTGATGTGGCATCCTTGTGCTGACGTAGCATTGTTCGATTGGCTGGTCTGATTACAGTATCACAAGACACGTGAATGAGGCTCGTGGGAAGGACAGGAAAACACGTTGCTGACGTGGCATCCCAACATCTGTTGATTGGACACCGCTGACGTGGCAGTTTGCTATGTTGGTATGCTGGGAATGACACGTGGCGGGCAAGAAGTTGCCTAAGTGAGAGATTACATTCCAACGGCAGCAGCGGTACAGCTGATTGGTGTTTGGACAACTGTAGTGCTATCTGTTGATTGGTGTGTTGTAACGTATTGGCACAAGTATTGACGCCGGGAAGAAGAAGAATGCTAACATATTGTTATTGATGTTGGTATACTTACCTGGTGTTGTTGTGGTGCTATGCGTATTCACTTGTGTGTGTATCTGATCACACGGCCTGAAGTGGTACCTGTAGAAATCTGAATAGGACGTCATCACACAAATTCAAAAAAGAACAGCATTAGTATTGACTTGAACTTATTCTTCTCCTTTAAATCTTGCTGTATTAGAACTGTGCTGATGTAAAATTTGCTTGTCTACTTTTCAGCAAACGTAGATTGACAAAATGTCTCAACCTGAAGGCACTGCTCAGACTCCCGAAGAACTGCCTGACGTTCGAACCAGACGACAAGTGGACGAGTGGAAGAAAGTATTAACCGCCCGCTTGAATATACTGATCACTGAACTTCATGAGGCCGGTGCTGAGGCAAAAGCCCATGTCCGGGCATTGTACAACCTTGAGGCAGCACAGGCCGCCATCGAGGCAGCTGAGACTGGTACCGATGTCATGCAAGTTCAGGAAGTACTTATCAAGTGTCGTCAGGGGCTTGATAAGTACATCATGGACAAATTTATTGAGATTGTTAATGGCAGTGAAAAGAAAAAAGTGTTTGTGACCGAGGAGACAATGGAAGAAAATATCCGGCAGCTCGAGGAAGCTCTCGTAAGAGAAAGGAACCGGAAAGAAGAAATAAAGAGACAACGTGAAAGAAATGTACAGCAAGAACAAAAAGTGAATGAGATTAGACAAAATGTGTTAATAACTGAAAGGGAAGAACAATCAGTTTCCTTGACCCAACTTGTAACCTATCTTGCTCACCTTGAAACGAAGATTGAACAGCAAGGTTTGCGAATTGATGGACTTACCGCAGGCTTGCAGACTGTC